ACCAAACCAAACCAAACCAAACCAAACCAAACCAAACCAAACCAAACCGGACGAAAAACAAAACATAAGAAAAAAAATTTTAAAAAAAGCTTAAATTTACATTAAGAAACAGTTTTACATTAGGACTCAGAAGATTTTACATGTGTAGACTAACTCATTCAAATATGAATTACTGTTTGCGTTTCTGTTTAGGATCCAGAAAGCAACAAGAGCCAAGTAATCTATAGAATCCCAAGTTATAGAAATCAAGTTTTCTTGAACCAATGACAGAATCAAGGTATTAAGCCAATCAATAGTGTTGGTATAATGTTCTTTTGAAATGTACACACCTTACTCTTGTTCATTCAAAAGCTGATTTCTCTCCCCAACTCTCTGGTTTTAAACAGGACATTGCATTGTGATACTTATTCTAAGCATCACCTGTCTCAACTTTGCAAAATAAAGCAACTAACCACAATGTTGAGCACTGGAGAGGAATCAGGAAGAGAGGGAGGAGCCAGAGGGCAGGGAGAACTGGGAGAAGAGAGGCAGGAGCAGAGATCTTGGAATGATGTGGAGAGATGGACTGGACCTGATATATCACTAAAAGCAAGTATAATGTGGGAAATCTAAATATTAAGAAACTATGAGGGCTTGGAGGTTTAGGATCGACTAACTATTGCCCAGCATTGTGTTCTAGGTTAATTAAATAAATCCCAGTGTCTGTGTGGTGATTTGGATATACAGCTGTTTAGGATTAACAGCAGCTTTACCAGAAAATATATCCATAGTAAATATTAATCATTATCTACACCACAATAATGAAAAGTTCTGTTACGGAAAACACTGGGCACAGTAACTATTTCACTTCTGCAGAAAAAAAAAGGGGGAAAGAAAAAACAGAAGAAAACACAACAATGAGGTAAGTTTTAAAGAAATTTAATGGCAAAGTATAGCTACTGTGACAGGTGAGTACACTGGGAATCTGCCACAGCAAAGTAGGTTTTCACTTGCATATTCTTAGTCACAAGTCTTTCATGAAAAAGGAAAATGATGATAACGGGGTAAGTTAGCCTAAAAGAGAAACTTCTTATGTGGTTGCAGAGGGTGAGGAACTACTAGCTGCCACTGAAATATGGGCACAAAAATCACATTAAAAACAAATGTACCCAGCAGGGTATCAAAGTAGATGCTGAGACTCATAGCCAAACTTTGGGCAGAGTGCAGGGAATCTTATGAAAGAAGGGGGAGAGAGAAAGACCTGGAGGGGACAGGAGCACCACAAGGAGAGCAAAAGAACCAAAAAAAACTGGGCACCAGGGGTCTTTTCTGAGACTTATACTCCAACCAAGGATCACACATGGAGATAACATAGAACCCCTGCACAGATGTAGCCCATGGCTGCTCAGTCTCCAAGTGGGTTCCCGAGCAATGGGAATAAGAACTGTCTCTGACATGAAGTCAGCGGCTGGCTCTTTGATCACCTTCCCCTGATGGGGTAGCAGCATTACCAGGCCACAGTAGAAAACAATGAAGTCACTCCTGATGAGACCTGATAGGCTAGGGTCAGATGGAAGGGGAGGAGGACCTCCCCTATCAGTAGACTTGGGGAGGGTTACGGGAGGAGATGAGGGAGGGAAGGTGGGATTGGGATGGGACAAGCTTGGATACAAAGTGAATAAAATATAATAATAAAAAAAATGAAGCAAATACCTCTAGACTACTGAAAAGCTTCTGTCCTTAGTCAACAGGAAAAATAGTCTGCTTATCTACGAATAGTAGAAGGAAAACTTATTTGCTTCTAAAGAATTGGTAGGAACCCCTACTACTGTGCACCCTAGTCAAAGAGCCATTGTTTTTAAAACCAATGAGAAGCTAGGAGGAACCAAAATCACTTGGTTTAGAATCTCACATCAATATACAAGCAGTAGTGTAGTATTTCCGGAGGAGACCAGAAATTCTCTATTGCCACTGATAGAAGGCAGAATTTGATTGTCATGTAAGCAATGGAAGGAGGATGAACTTGATGCACAAATGCTTTGAGAAGGTTCCAACCACAGGAATCAGCAATTTAGACATTGCTTACCACTGACGCCTATCCAGCCTAATGAAAAATCTACCCATCCAGAGTCATGACTTATAATAACATAGGCGAAAACCATGAAGGGAGTCTTCCTATGATGTGGTAGTGTCCAAATGAGTGCTTAGAGCAGTGGTTCTCAGCCTGTGGTTCACAACCCTCATGGGGCCTGAACAATTCTTTCACAGAGGTTGCATATATGATATCGTGCACATTACACATTTACGTTCCGGTTCACAAGAGTAGCAAAATTGTAGTTATGAAGTAGCAGCAAAATAATTTTATGGTTGGGGTCACCACAACATGAGGAACTGTATTAAAGGGTCGAAGAATTAGGAAGGTTGAGAACAACTGGTTGAGAGGTAAAGTAAGAACATTGAGACATGACCTTATAGCATTTAAGGTCTCAAAAACCACAAAGAAAGTGGAGTCTATTGCTGTAAATCTAAGTGACATGCTAAAGTTTTATAACATGCAGAACTAACAAAACCCACAGCCAGCCTAACAACTGAAGATATTATCGCAATCACCCATACTAATGGCCTTACAGGGACTCCACTCTTGGTTTAGCTGTTTTGTTTTGTTTTTTGGTGGACATTCTCAGCCAAATATTTTCTATCAAGAAGTCAACTTCCCACACAGAACTGGGACTTAGGTGGTTTTCACTATTCTTCCTGTCCTCTATTATGCTCTCTTCAGTCTCATCTACAGTTTTGTGGCAGCCTGTTTGTCGATACCCATCCTCTCACCCCAATCCAGTCCACTGGATTCATAACCTCTTGGTACATACCAGGTTTCATCCAGATTCCCCAAGACACATTTTTTTCCTACAGCAGCCTAATTTCAGAAGCCACTCTTCCTACCAGACTTCTACTCCTTGGGCACCCAAACTCTCCTCTTGGTGTGGACTAGATTCTATCAGCTCTTTTATAGAGTCACTTTCAACTGACCTACAGAAGCACTCTCTACCAGATCTATGTCAACTGCCTAAGATCCAGAGAGTAACAGTAACCAAAGAACAGAAAACCAAACCAATAAAGACAAGACCACATAACAACACTTGGCAGTCATAATTCTAGATGACTAGGACCCCCAACACAAAAACACACATGTTAACAGCAAAGACAATATAGCCCTGCTTGAATGAACTCAGAATTTACACAGTAGGTCATGAGAAATGCAACATGGCTGAAATGCAAGAAAAAGAATTCAAAACAGCAATTATGAATATGTTCAAGGACCTTAAAGAACATATGAATAAATCACATAAGAAATAGTACAAAAATACAAATAAACACTTAGAGGAATTAATGAACAATTCAAGACATGGTAATAGAACTTAACAAAGAAATAGAATCACTAAAGAAAACCCAAACAGAAACAAAATTGGAAATGAAAAATTTAGAGTGCCAAGCAAAAATGTTAGAGGCAAGCTTTACCAATAGATTACAAGACATGTAAAAGAGAATCTAAGGTGCTGAAGGTAAGGAAGATAAAATGGATACCTTAGAACAAACAACAACAACAACAAAACCCAACCAAACAAAAAAACCTTATATCTAAAAAAGACCCAGACACAAAGCATCAAAGAAATCTGGGATTCTACAAACAATAAGGATGCAGGATAGAGAGGAAACCCTGGTCAAAGGCACAGAAAATATTTTCAACAAAACCATAGAAGAAAACTTTCCTAACCTGATGACGGCAGTTCCTATCAAAGTACAAGAAACAGACAAAGTACCAAATAGATATAAAAAATAAATTCCCTGTGACAAAGAACAATCAAAACACTAACTGAACAGAAGAATAGCTATTAAAAAAATGCAAGAGAACAAGGCCAAATCACATATAAAAAAAGGCTAATTAGAAAAATACCTGACTTCTCAAAGTATATTCCAAAAGCCAGGACTGAATAGATGGTCTCC